CCCCAAAACCCCAAAACCCCAAAACCCCAAAACCCCGCAAAGTCCTATTTTTAATCAATTTTGTGGTTATATAATTAAATCCAATTTATCCCATGTTGAAATACTTATCAAAAAATATGATTATTTCAAAGAAAAGTAAAAGTGACGATCGCCTCTACAGGTATCTCAGACTTCAAAATAATCTAAGATGCCTTGTTGTGTAAGACAAAGATGTGGAAAAAAGTTCAGCTTGTTTGCATGTTGGAGTGGGAAGTCTTTATGACCCACCCTAGGCAAATGGGTTAGCTCATTTCCTAGAGCACATGCTCTTCCTAGGTACTAAAAAATATCCTAGTGAAAACTATTATTCTCAACATATTCAGTAGAATGGAGGACAGAAGAATGCAGCAACATCAGAGAATTACACTTATTACTATTTCGATGTAAAGAATGAAGCGTTCCCTAAAGCAGTTGATATATTCTCCCAATTTTTCAAAGAGCCACTTTTCACGGAGACTGCTACAGAGAGAGAAATGAATGCAGTAGATAGTGAATACAAGAAAAACTTAAGTGATGATGGAAGGAGAATCTTTTAAATGGAGAAGAGTGTGATTGTTAGACCTGGATCTGTACTGAATAAATTTTCTACTGGGGGTATGGAAACATTGAAGCATGAAGGAATCAGAGATGAGTTACTTAAATTTCATGAAGACTACTACTCAAGTAACATCATGAGACTGGTTCTTGTCGGTAGAGACTCTCTAGAGAATCTAGAAAAACTTGCTGTTGAAAATTTCAGTGATGTAGTTAACAAAGAAGTAGTGTTGAAAGATTTAAGCAATGAAATCGTTTATGATGAGAATTCATTAGGAAAATTATACAAAGTAGTACCCCATAAAAATCTAAAAAAGATTCTTATTCACTGGAATCTTCCATATTCGGAGCACCTATGGAATCAAAAGCCTAGCAGCATTATATCTCATTTGATTGGGCATGAAGGGCCTAATTCTTTGCTTAGTTAACTTATCAAGGAGGGTCTAGCAACATCATTATAATCATCTAATTCTAGTAGAATGGATTGCATCGATTAATTTTCTGTTTCGGTCGGTCTTACCGATAAAGGAGAAGAAAACTATTAGAGAGTTGTTGAGCTAGTCTATCAATACATTAATTAGCTGAAATAATCTGGAATTCCTAAATATGTATTTGATGAGAAAAAAAGAATGTATGAGCTAAGCTTTGAATATAAGACTAAGCAATCAGCAATTTCATATGCTTAAACCCTAGCGGCAAGAATGTTGAAATTTATAGAAGATGAAGAATTTAATGATCTTTTATGGAGACCTCATGCATTAGAGGTATTTGATCCCGAGGAACTATAAAGAAGAATGAATCTTCTTACTCCTTAAAATAGCTTTGTAATCTTTTAAAGCAAAAAAAATGAGAAGGAAGACTCTGTTTTACTTAAGGAAAAATGGTATGGAACACCATATAGTATTGAAAAAATACCAGACGATACAATTTCATACCTAGCTAAAGTTTTACCAAGTTTAGAGGTAAATCTAGGTCTGCCACCAAGAAATGAGTTCATTCCATAGCAACTTAATGAAATAAAAATACTAAGAGATCTAGAGAATACAAAACCAGCATTCCCAATGAAAATAAGTGAGAATCCATAAGTATGGTTCAAGCAAGATGATACATTTGATCAGCCATTCTTGCAAGTTAATATGAAATTATAGACATACGATTGCGCTTATCCTGTTACGGCTTTATCTTAAATGTTCATAGTCTTATGGAAAGCTTGCTTGCTTGAATTTAATAGAGAGCTAAGTTATATGGGTAGTCTTGCAGGTATTGGAGAATCAAATGGCCTCTCAATGGAATACTTAAGCTGGACAATATTTTCCTATAATGATGTAGTTGTGACTAAATACATAGCAGAAACTTTAAAAAGTCTTCAAAATTATGATGTAACAAAAGAAATTTTTGAAGACATAAAAAATTTAAAGATTAGATCCTATGAAAACTCACTAAAATCAGAGCCCTATTAGAGAATAGATAGCAAACTTTATACTCTAATTATGAAGAATAATTTGGATATTCCAGAACTGCTAAAGGCTTTGAAAGAGGAACTTGACTTCGAAACTTTCGTTAACATGAAAAATCAGTGGTTAAGAAATCTAAGAATAGAATGGTTTGTTACAGGTCACATTACGCAAAAGGATGCTATGCAAATAGTACATGATAGTGAAGCCGCTATTAAGCATAGGAAAATCACTTAAGAAGAAATTTAGGAATAGAGATTAATAAAATTACCATATAATTATCTAGCAGAATACGAAGAATTGAATGCAGATACTGAAAACCCAAATTCTGCAGCACTTGCAATTTATCAATATGAATTAAAGACACCATTGAAATAAGCAATTAACTCAGTGCTTTTTCAATTGCTTAAAGAGCCCTTCTTCAATCAGCTTAGAACTTAATAGTAATTAGGCTATATTGTTCAATGTGCGCCTATGATTACGAGAAAAGTAATTCATGGAAAGTTCTTAGTATAGTCAAGTGTTAAAGATCCAGATTATCTTATACTTAAAATGAATGAATTCTTGCTAAACATCAGAGACAATGTGATTCCAACTCTTACAGATGAGTAAATCGAGACTAGTAAGAAGGCAATTATCAATAGTCTATAGCAAAAAGATCTGAATTTGGGTTAAGAAGCAGGAAGATATTGGGATGAGATCCTAACTGGAGACTATGAATTTAGTAGTAGAGAAATTAAAATAGAGGCTCTGAGATAAGTTCAGAAGTAAGATGTCATTGAATACTTCAATGAGTTGTTCTTTAACAACCCAAAAAGGCTTAATCTGAAATTCTATTCTCACGGTCATTTCGATAATAAGGATGAACTGAACGCTAATATTTAAGCTAATTAGAAATTCTATCAAGATAACTGCAAAATATTCAAACAAGAAAAGATAGAAAACTACAGATAATTCAAGCTTAGTCATTTCTAGTTCCCCAGACTATGATCAAGTAACATAATAATTAATTTACCAATAATTAACCTTTATTTAATGACTCAGAATTCCATAAATTCTACATTCAGGGGTTTTGGGGTTTTGGGGTTTTGGGG